GTTTCACACAGATGCACACAAATTAGCTCCTCAGCGAGACAGAACAGTTATGGGGGGTAGTGATGTGATGTTCAAGAATGGATCAAATCTTTTGAACGGGTTTTCAAAGTGAACGATGAGAGCCGAGTCCCTGTAAAGAGCCGTTCATCTTGTCTTCCGGTCACACACCTCCCCGGAAGTTGGTAAAGTGCACCCGCTCAAACCCCACCCATTGCTGTGACGGATGTAGGAGGAACCCTGCCCAATACCGTGCACCCTCACGGACACCGGAGAAACATGTTGCTTTTAATATCGCCCCTCCCCGTTCAAAGGAGCCAGACTATTGAACGGCTCTTTGAGGGTAAATGACCAACTGATGAATGGCTCCCAAGAAAGAGCCATAAATCCCATCACTAGCAGATTTTAGGGAATGCTAATTTGTATTGTTGTATTGAAGGGTGAGCATGAGTTATTTATATTGTGATTGTTGGGAAATTTTGTTTTAAACACAAAAATCGACTAGCACAATTTTCTATTGAGAAACGGCCCAGAAATGATGTCTCCCCATCAGTTGAATACTTGGAAATTCCAACTTCCGAGTCGGGAGAATCAACCGGAACACCTCCTGAAGTTAGAGAATGGCTGTTTCTCAATACTGAAGTACACTAGTACATTGCTGCAAAATATTATTTAGAAAAGTACGTTCTTGGCAAATACAGCAGAAAGTCCATTCTAATAAATTTAGAGAGGACAAGGATGCCATTTGGAACAGAACTGAACTGTGTTACATCATGGTACAATGGCTGTTTTATGCTACGGTCGAATAAATGACCTGAAATTTGAAGAAGTCTAGTTTGTTCATTAAATAACAAAATAACAATGAATAAATGTTCCTTGTAAATATTTGGTATGGCATTTTTATCAAAATAAATGAAATACGAGCATTTCCCGCTATTAAATTAAGAACTATTTCATTTTTCATAAAACTAGAGCTATTTAAGGCAACGCGGTTTTTAATTTTGACAGTGGGTTAGCTAATTAGCATTTTGCAGTATCGTGAGGAGTCCAAAAGATAAATAAATAAATACACAGCAATTTTTACAGGTTACACATGATTAACTACAATAACAGACAGTTTTATATTTATTGATATAGATTTAATTATTTGTATTTTTGAAATAAAAACACTACAGTTAGGAGCTTCTCCTGTTCTGGGTGTAATGGTTTGTGAGAGGAGCCAGTTTAGGTGGCTCAGGCATCTGGTCAGGATGCCTCCTGGACATCTCCCTGGTGAGGTTTTCCGGGCACGTCCAACCGGGAGGAGGCCTACAGGGAGACCCAGGACACTTTGGACGGACTATGTTTCTCATCTGGCCAGGGAACGCCTTGGGATTTCCCTAGAAGAGCTGGCCCAAGTGGCTTGAGAGAGGGAAGTCTGGGCCTCTAAACTTAGGCTGCTGCCTCTGCGACCCAACTCCAGATAAGTGGAAGAAAATGGATAGATTGATGGATGGATGGATGGATGGATGGATGGATGGATGGATAGTTTGCGACACAGTGGCCCGTGTCCACAGTAGGATGTGTTGATGCATCCTCGATAGATTGGGGGAGCGATACCACATCTGAGAACTTTGAGCACACATCATTAGGATTAGAATGGTGCTTGGGCCAACGTTTGTGACGACTCACAAGTTTGTAAAACTTCAGATGGCCGGCTGATACATCAGGCCGATATTTAGCATGTTTTATTTATCAGGACCGGTCAATATTAGCATTTGTCAGGTGCATCCTCGGGCAGTTGCAGAATTAAATTAAAATGTATTTTTAAATGCATTAATAACATACACATAATGAATACTCTAAATTAACTTTATTTAACACTGATCAATACACGAAGTTAAGATTTAACTGTTAAATTCTGAGTTCAAAAATTAATTCAGCTTCAGACACTTTGTGTCACACCCTGTCCTGTCTCCCCGTTTTGGTTCAGCATTGTGTCTCGTTAATTGCTCCCACCTGCCTCTCGTTTCCCAATCACCTTAGCTCCCTGCCCTTGTGTATTTAAGCCTCTTCTGTTTTGTGTCTGATGTCGGTCCATTGTTTCATTGTCCAGCGTGTGTTTAATAAATCAATGTTAGAAGTGCTCACCTGTCTGCCTGTCTTCCTCCCCGCGTGTAGATCCTTGCCTCACCTCCGCTCACCTCGCCACACGCCGTGACAGAATGGACCGACCCGTTAACGGATCCAGTGGGGAGATTCTTCCATGGGAGTACCTGCTCCTGTGGCTTACCCCGACCCACCAGCCGGCTTCTCCCTCTCCAGCCTCAGCTCCGCCTCGCCGCCGCCGGCGTCCCCGACTGTCAGCCTCGGCGATCCTCGCCGCCCTTCCGGAGCTGGACGGGAGTTTGGATGGGGAGACACTCCTGGATCGCTCCGGCTTCGAGGGCACGAGGCTGGCTGTCTGTTCCCCCGGAGTCGGTCCATGGCGTGGGGAAAGATGCCGGACTCCACCACGATCCGGTGTCCCGGGACGGAGCAGTGAGTTTGCCGCTGCCCCTGCCCGGCCCAGCAGTTTGGACACGCCCCCGGCCAGACCAGCAGTCCCGTCTCCTGCCGAATCAGCGCCTCAGTCACCTCCAGGGGGAGGAGCGTTGGCCGCAGCCCAGCTGACCAAGCTTGTCAGTCTCCCAGCGGAGCTTGGCCGGTTCCGCCAGCTCATCAACTCCCAGGAATCCTGCCTGGACACTCTGTCCTCCTCATCACACCCAGCGGAACTCGCCGGTCTCCGGGCTGAGCTGGCCCAGCTCCATCGGGCCCTCAGCCTCCGGGAGCTTCAGTTGGATGGTTTGTCCTCCCTGCTCTCTCCGTTCCCAGCACCGCCAGGTCACACGCAGCCTGTCCAGGCAGCCCCTCCTGCAGCTGCTCCGCCTCCACTCCAGACGTCAACGGATCTGGCCCAGAAGCAGACGGGTTGGGCCCCGAAGCAGACGGTTCGGGCCCAGAAGCTGATGGTACCGGCCCAGAAGAAAACGGTACCGGCCCAGAAGCAGACGGGACCGGCCCAGAAGCAGACGGTACTGGCCCAGAAGCAGATGGTTCCGGTCCGAAAGTCGGGGGTCCAAAAGTCGACAGTCCAGAAGTCGAAGGACCAGAAGCCAACTCCCCCAGACCAGAAGCCGACACCCCCGGACCAGAAGCAGACGGTTCCGGTTCCGGTCCAGAGGCCGACGGTCCAGAAGTCGAAGGACCAGAAGTCGACGCTCCCGGACCAGAAGCCGACGCCCCCGGACCAGAAGTCGATGGTCGTCGATGCCCTGTCCTGTCCTGTGGTCGACACCTCTTCCAGTTCTGAAGTCGACACCTCCTCGTGATCTGAAGTCGACGCCTCCTTGTGTTCTGCAGTCGACGCCTCCTCGTGTTCTGAAGTCGACGCCTCCTCGTGTTCTGAAGTCGACGCCTCTTCATGTTCTGAAGTTGATGCCTCTTCCAGTCCGGGGGTCGATGCCTCTTCCAGTCCAAGGGTCGACGCCTCTTCCTGTCCAAGGGTCGACGCCTCTTCCTGTCCAAGGGTCGACGCCTCATCTGAAGTGGACGCCTCTTCTGAAGTCGACGCCTCATCTGATGTCGACACCTCATCTGATGTCGACGCCTCATCTGATGTCACGCCTCATCTGATGTCGACGCCTCATCTGATGTCGACGCCACATCTGATGTCGACGCCACATCTGATGTCGATGCTCGTTCCACTCCAGAGGTTGACTCTCGTTCCACTCCAGAGGTCGACGCTCGTTCCACTCCAGAGGTCGACGCTCTCTCCACTCCAGAGGTCGGCGCTCTCTCCACTCCAGAGGTCGACGCTCCCTCTGGTCCGCCGTCTCCGCCATCTCCGGTTCCAGTGGTGGTTCTGGGGGTCGCACTGTATCCGGTCCAGCCCTTCCATGAGGCTCCGATCCAGCCCGCAGAGACTTTGTCTCCGGCCCAGCCCGTCCAAGGGGCTCTGTCGCCGGTCCAGCCCGTCCAAGGGGTTCTGTCGCCGGTCCAGCCCGTCCAAGGGGCTCTGTCGCCAGTCCAGCCCGTCCAAGGGGCTCTGTCGCCGGTCCAGCCCATCGAAGGGGCTCTGTCTCCGGTCCAGCCCGTCCTAGAGGCTCTGTCTCCGGTCCAGCCCATCCAAGGGCCTACGTCCCCGGCCCAGCCTGCAGAGACTATGTCCCCGGCCCAGCCTGCAGAGCTCCTCTACCGTAAACTCAGGCCTCCAAGGGCCCATCACCTCCTCCACTGCCGCAGACGCAGGCCTCCAAGGGCCCGTCGCCGCCTCCTCCACTGCCGCAGACGCAGGCCCCCAAGAGCCCGTCTGCACCTTCTCTGCCCCAGGCGCAGGCCCCCGGACTCTGCTGGTTCCTGCCTCCTCTTCATCGGGCCCTCTGTTCCTCTTGGCCCTCCCTCCGGGTCCCCCTCCTCCCGCCCTGCTCCTCGCTCCTGTGGGCGTCTGGAATCCGCCCTTTTGGGGGGGGGGGGGGGCACTGTCACACCCTTTCCTGTCTCCCCGTTTTGGTTCGGCCTTGTGTCTCGTTAATTGCTCCCACCTGCCTCTCGTTTCCCAATCACCTTAGCTCCCTGCCCTCGTGTGTTTAAGCCCCTTCTGTTTTGTGTCTGATGTGGGTCCATTGTTTCATTGTCCAGCGTGTGTTTAATAAATCAATGTTAGAAGTGCTCACCTGTCTGCCTGTCTTCCTCCCCGCGTGTGGATCCTTCCCTCACCTCCGCTCACCTCGCCACACGCCGTGACATTTTGTGCACCAACTGATGTTATTAGTGACATTTTAACATAAAAATAAGGCAGATGATGTGTAGAAATTGACCACGGAAATCGACCCATAAAAATCGGCTGTACATATTGGTCATCGGCTGACCATTTTCTCTACATATCGAGATTGGCAATAGGAAAACCAATATTGGTTGACCAGTAGCTATGGTGCAACAGTGTTTATTTTCCAAGACAAACTTTTAAGGGTGCATCTAAAATCAGTGTTACATGTATAGTTGAATTGTCTTCTGAGGTAAATGGAACGCACATTAAGGATGGTGGTTAACAGCAAAAACATTGGAGAGTGGATGCCACATTTGCGGGGTCTAAGGTTAACAGGGTGCTGTGATCTATGGCTTTTGCTCCATGAAGATCTGGAGCTCTAACTTCGAGGGAATGGCGCTCTCTGTTCACAAATGCCAGAATGAGCGTGTTCACTTCAGCGTTCATTGGATAAAATACGAATGATTTCAGTTCCTGATCAAATGAAACATGAACGATTGATCGTTCATGAGTTTGTTCAGGCACAATACCGCATAGTATCTTGTTGTAAGGATCTTGTGGATTTACATTCTGTTTTTTTCCACTGTGTTTTTATTATTGTAGCCTATCATAGCACGGGGACTGGCATTGGAACTCAGCCTTGGCTGTATGTGGCACCAAGGGCACTTGTCAGGATGACCCTCATGCGCTCCGGAGGAAAAAGTGATACTGAGGAGGCCGATGTCCAGTGCAGACCCAAGTGTGTTTTATTTACATTTTACAAAATTAAAATCTAGGCAGCACAATCAATGCCTGTCACTCCATCCATCACCCTTCCAATAAACACAGAACTGTATTTATAACAGGTGTGACTAATTGGACCAATCCTAAAACCAGACACAGGTAAATACAAAAATACAATCCTTCCACATTCTTAAATTATCCTTACATCATCATCTCTAAGATCTCTTTAAATAATTACAATACAAAAATAGAAACATCTTTAATTAATCCTAAAAACATTAAATTAAACTAATCTGCCTTCCTAGAGCAATTTCACAGGTCACCCCTACCCATTCCTCCTGAATGGAATGCTCCGGAACCTTCTTTATGTGCTCCAGCTCCCCAGGTACTCTTTAGCTGGAACACCTACAGAAGCACAAAGGAAACAGGTGAGCACAAACAATCATTTACCACTTTAAATCCTCAATAATCATACCAACTCTTCTTACAGGTCCAAACACTTCACCCTTTTTAAATAAACATTAAAACAATTGTTATTGAGCCTGGTTTCATTTATCCTACAACCATAGCAAAAGCCTGTGTAATGGACTTATTACATTACACTGTAATTGGGCGAGTTTACATTAGTATGTACTGTTCAATACCACATACTGTCCCTCTTAAGCAAATGAAAAGAAACTTTGTCAGATTTGAAGAAAATAGATTATTTAGTTAGTCATGGTCATGTGTTTACTCAACATTCAAAACAATGTGCCAACCATGTTGGCGCGATGAATCAATTTTGTTTATTTTCTGTGTGATTCATCCTCCAAATATGTGTTAAGTAAAAAACATTTTTCTCTAATGTAATTTCATTAGGTAATGTGTGGATGTTGCATCAGGTCGTCTGACATCTTGGTAGTTTATGTATAAGTTTTTTGTATAATTTTGAGAATTTCCCTTTCAGAAACAAAAACCTGCTGTCGATATAGATTTTCAGTGTTAACACAGATTTTATCCTGAAATGTAACACTTTTGAAAATATAGTCAACAAAAATCTCCCTGTTGGAAAAGAGAGATTTTATCCTTGCAAAACAGCTATCTGATTTGTTTGTTAATGCAACTTGACAACTTGCAAGTTGTCAAGTCATTTAAACATTCATGTTGAAGTTAAGTTAAAAGTTAAAGTCCCATTAGTTGTCAAACTGATGTGTGTGCGAAATTTGTTCTCCGCATTTGACCCATCCCCTGGGGGAGCGGTGAGCTGCAGACGCAGACGCGCTCGGGAACCATTTGGTGGTTTAACTCCCCAATCCAACCCCTTAATGCTGAGTGTCAAGCAGGGAGGCATTGGGTCCCATTTTTTCAGTCTTTGGTATGACCCGACCAGGAAGCGAACCCTGAACTCCCAGTCTCAGGGCGGACACTCTACCACTATAGACCCCTGAGCTGGTCAAACCCATGTTTGACTTTTACGGTCTTCTGTTGTTTTTATATTAAATGTTTTTGTATTTTTGAGCCTTTTTGAAGTTATGACAGTACTTTTTCATTTATTTCTGGACCTACTGAGTTATCTTTTGAGTTTTTCTTTGCTTTTTTGTCCCACAAATCCCATTTTACTCACCTGTTTTCCATCTATAATCAGCTCAGCTGTATAATCTCTCAGTAATCACCCTACTTTTCATTAAATATTCCTCAATGTGGTTGTCACTGTTTGTCTCGTTATTTTCCTCAAACTAAGTTGGGATTTTCTTAATTTTTGATTCATGAACTGTTTTTCCTCATTTTGCTGCCATGTCAGCTTTTTCATGTTCATGATTTTTTCAACTCTGTTATGTGCATCCTTAGACTGGACATTTAGCTCCTCTTTTCACTCTGTGACTGATTCATGCTTTAAAATGTGATTGAATCATGATATAAATCTAAAATATCACTGAAAACAGCTTTCTCCAATCAAAATGTTTGAGGACTGTCTATAAAATGGCAGGAATAGGTTTTGGAAGCACATTGGAGACGATTAACAATTATTTGCATTGAGGTTTCTTTGTGAGAATGAAAACATGAACAGAAACTACCAAAATGGCCGTTTGGCTGCTTATTAAAATGTTCCATAACCCATGAAGGCTCTTTCCTGGACTTCACTGATGTGGGATGGGAAATTAACTTGGCCTGCAATCATTACAAGATTGTATTAGTTTGAGGGAAAAAGGAAAGTGTTCCACAGAACCTGAGCCTTTTGTTGACTAACTTGGGTTGAAACAGTTATTCTGAGTTTCACACGAGATAAAAATGAACAACCTGAATTTAAGGCCAATAACCTATGGTTGCATTTTAACTGACCATTCTAGCATGTTATTGTTGAAAACTGGGTCCTGAAAAATGTCTCGGTTCATTTCTTTTCTGGAGCGATTTACAGTAAAACTAATAAAAATGTTTTCCGGGGAACTTTCTGTACAATTTAAAGCTACCCATTCATCTCTACTATTTTACTTTAGAAGATTTTGTTGAAAAGTACAGTGCAGGTTAAATGTCAGTTAACAGAAAGCAAAGTTTAAAACAAGCTGAAGAAGATGGGCATGAGAATTTCATCATAATTTGGCAGAATAAGTGAGAATATTTACATCGTATATCACCCTGACCCAATGAATCACAATAAAATGTCTGATCAAGTCCATCTGGTGATGGATGTAGATGCTATTCTGCAGTAAAATGTGACCAGAATGGTGGGCAGCCTGGGTAGGAAGAGCCACAATGTTGTGGCTGTATATTTGTGCGACGGTAGCACAGGAGTTGAGTGCTCACCCCATAACACCACCAGCGTGTGAATGTGTGTGTGTGAATGGGTGAATGACAAACTGATTCTGTCGTAAAGCGACTTAGGTGGTTCCAGGACTCTAGAAGGTGCTATATCAAATACAGGCCATTTATCAAAGATCCTCTACATGCATACACAAACAGTCACACACTCCCTCCCTCATGCTCACACATACACATACAACCAAAGACTTACGTTGTATGACTGTATATGTCAGGTGGGGACTTTGACTCCTCCCTTCTCCTGGGACTTCTTTTGATGATAGATCTTCATCTCCCCTCTCCCTGCCACACCTGGTGTGGTGTGTGGTGCCTTGGTCTGCCTGGGTCATGGCTCCCGGTTCAGGGAGTTTAAGATTTTTGGCATCTGCCTGACCAATCCTGGTGGGGTCTGGGTCCCTGGGCTCTGCTGGGTCCCCGACGGGGGTGGTCGTCCCTGGGTCCCGGGCTCGGCAGGCTAGGGGGTGGGAGGCTGCGGGCGGGCCTGTGGGCTTGCCGCCGATATCTCCCAGGACTCTGCCGGCTGCTAGTTGTGGCCCCCCAGGGCGATCCTCTGCACCTCTCGAGGGGGGCGGGGGCTTTTTTGGTCACAGTCTCCCTGGGGTTCCTGTGCTCTGGGGCAGCTCCTGGATCTCTGGGACTTGGAGCTCCCTCCATCTCCTGCACATCTTTAGGGTGCAGATCTGTGGCCCCTCACACTCTCTATTGGACGCTCCTATAGAAAAACCTTACATAAACAAGCTAAGTGCCCACCCTGTAATCGGAAGGTTACAAGTGCAAGTCCTGCTCAGACTGTCACTGCTGTTGTGTCTGTGAGCAAGACACTTAAACCACCTTGCCTGCTGGTGGTGTTCGGAGGGACCGGTGGTGCCTGTGTTCGGCAGGCCTCGTCTCTGTCAGTGCTCCCCAGGGCAGCTGTGGCTACGATGTAGCTCATCATCACCACGGTGTAAATGTGTGTGTGGAATAACTGATTGTGTTGTAAAGCACCTTGGGGGGTTCCGGGACCCTAGAAGGCATGCAAAGTCAGATATTTCAAGCCTTTTTTTGTTATAATTGTGATCATTATGACTTGCAGCTTATAAAAATCTATTAGAATAAGGATAAGGTTCATATTCTACACTCAAAGTGTCCCACTCCAATCAGCTAACTAATCCAAAACACCTGCACCCCATTTTGGGGGACTTTGAAGTTTAGCAGCAAACCTCATGTCCCAAATATCAATAATTTACATTTTCCAAACACAACTAAAATTACAATCAAAACTGTTTAGATGAAGAACAAAGCCATTTGAAATGTTACTAAATTAGGATTCATTAGTTTAACTTTATTTTAGAGGAGCATCTGGTCCTCACGGTGTCTGCTGGGACAAAGATCCAGCCATTGAACAAATTTGATGTAGAACTCCTGCTTTAGATGGTCTCTCAGTCTAATAATTAAATACATGGACTTTTGCACCATTCTAATTTTCTAGTTTCATATGTGCTGGTTTTTCCTCATAATGGGAAGTAAAATCATCCATTTAACTTGGAACAAGAGCACTCCACATTTGAGCAACCAAACACGAATAACATTTATTTATTTATTTATTTGTTTATTTATTTATTTATTTATTTATTTATTGTGACAGTGTTGATCATGATATAAAATAATGTGTGTGTGTGTGTGGGGGGGGGGGGGGGTTGTAAGAGGGAAAGGTTTTGCTTACTAAAAGTTTGAAATGGAGCAAGATGATAAAGAATAGAAGCTAAACAACAATATTTAGTTTTAAATATTGTTTTATTGTACATCTTTGGTTAAAATACGACATGGTGCCTTTCTTCTGCGTGTCCCTTTCATCCAAACAACCTGGAGGCGCCGGTACTCGTTGTTATCCCTCTCCGGTTTGTGTTTTTCACGGTAAACGCGGGCCTCCCGGTGCCTATTACTGAAGCTGCCAGATGATCGGTGCGGAGTGGAGGTCCCGTGGGACACTGAGCACGTGGTCTCGGCTGCCACAAGACGTCAGCGGCAGATGGCATGGGTACCCGCTGTTGGCATGAGTGTCATTCCTCAAAGAGAGAGAGGGAGAGCGGAGAAAAGAGGCTGCGCGGCTCGCGGCTCTGTCTTGAAGGAAGCAGCAGTGGAGATCTAGAGGTGACATAGGGGCCATGCAAGCTACACGCTGACCAGGTTAGTGGTATTTTTATTTGTGATTTTTTTTAGACAGTGGGATGATTTTTTTGTCTGATAAACAAATATCCAAAGCAAATTCCATATTTGATGCAACAAATTTAGATTTCACAAGTCAGGGGACAATGAAGTTGAGCGCTGATAAGGTAAAAGCTGTCACGCCAACCCACTCGCCCAGTTTGTTACTTTTCCACACCAGGGAGGACTCATTTACGAGCTAATTAACTGGCAACCTTCAAAAGACGCCGCTGCTGTTCTTTGCTCTCACGTTTCCTCTGATCTTTACAGGAGATATGTTGACGCTGCCATTCGAGGAACCTCGTGTGATGTGTGAGCTCCGGTTTGGTGCCAGTTATCCCCGTGAAAGCTTACCTGCGAGCCTGGATCAGGAGCGACAGCGCAACTCTGACAGGTCCAACCCACACATGAGGGACACCGAGGACGACATCTCCGACAGGGAGGAGGACGAGAGGGAGGACGATCAGGATGAGAACGGGCTTCCTAAAAAGCGAGGCCCCCGGAAAAAGAAGCCCGGGAAGGAGCAGGTGGACAGGGCCAAAATGCGGCGCCAGGAAGCCAACGCCCGGGAGCGCAGCAGGATGCACGGCTTGAACGCTGCGCTGGAGAGTCTGCGCAAAGTTGTGCCGTGCTACTCCAAAACTCAAAAACTGTCCAAGATCGAGACGCTGCGATTGGCTAAAAATTACATCTGGGCACTGTCAGAGACCTTGAGCGCGGGGAAGAGACCGGACTTGCTTGCGTTTGTTCAGACTCTGTGCAAAGGATTATCCCAGCCCACGACCAACTTGGTGGCCGGCTGTTTGCAGCTGAACGCAAGAAATTTCCTCACAGACCACAACGGAGAGGTCATGTTCTCAGGCAGATCCCCGTACGAAGCCGTGTACTCGTACACCGGGTCGGATATGAACTCTCCCCCGGGCCACAGCAGCAGCGCCCTGGACACCGGCACCAAGCCGTTCCGACACTACGGCTACGGCAGCGCCTACGAGCCCTACTTCGAGAATCCGTCACCGGACAGCGAGAGTCCACATTTCGACGGCCAGCTGAGCCCCCCGATGAACTTTAACGGGATTTTCTCCCTCAAACACGAGGAGCCGCCAGATTACAGCAAAAGCAGCCACTACGGCATGCGCTACTGCGCGCCAGGACGCACGGCCCTTGCGCCTAACTCAATGTACCGAGTGTCTCCAGAGGCCCGTTTCCCCTACGATCTCCACGTCCGCAGCCAGTCATTTCAAGCACAAGGGGAAGTTAATGGCTCTTTCCACAATTAATCAATCAGCTGTACAAAGTTCAACATTCTCTGCGCAGAGTGCGTGTGCATGGACTCAGAGGCGCAGATGCGCAGCAAAAACTCCAAATTTACCATGAAAATGAAAGTAATTTTTTAAAGATTAAATCAGTACTTTGGTGATTTATGTGTGTTGATAAACGACAGACGGGAGCGCATAACCGTTTTTAATCACTAAGGACATAAATTAACATTAAGAAAATGAAAAAGGAAAATATAATTCGGTGCTATTTGTTTCTACTAATTTCAGATGTTAAGTGTTTCGTTTATTATGATTTTCAGCAAAGTGTTTACAGTTCTGAATGTTTTATTGATATCAGCAGAGGTCGGAAACGACACGTTTTAACATAAAAATAACAAAATCGGACTGTTTAAAAAAAATCTGTAAAGCCATTTAAAATGTTTATAGGGCAAACATGACCCACTAAATGACAACAACCGGAAAAAAACAAACAAATGTCTCGCTTCTTCAGGAAAGTTTGCAATAACTGTAAATTGAGCTATGCAATCTAGCCAAATGCAATCTTTACTTATTAGAAAATAAACTGTCTTCTCGAGAGACATCTCACCTAATTTAAGATTGAATAAATAGTTACTTGTTGTAAAAACTGATAATAATTAGGCTGCGACAGGAGATGAAAAACTCATTCGATGAGAATGACGTCACCTGAAAGTTTGGGGTGCGTTTGGAGGCGGTGGTACGTTTCTAGTGCGAAGTGAATGTAAACTTCATTTATTATTTTTTATTTGTTTGTGGGTTTATTCTACGTCCGTTTGAATGTGAACATTAAAACAAAGTGAAATCAGCGGTGTGGATTTTCTTCGTGGATTTCCACGCGGTATTTTATTTATTCACTTTTTATTTACGTGTTCGTTTATTCATTTATTTATTCATTAATTTATGTTTGCATTGCTGTAAAATTGTCACCACAGCTGAGCAAAATGTCCCATGCCTTAAAAAATGGAAGAAAGAATCCGTCTCCATCGATATGCAAAGAAACGAACGCTGTCCTGGGTTGTTTGACGTGAACTTTGCCCCCCACCCCACCCCCACCCCCCGTGGAGCAGCTGCGATGCACTTCATGTATTTCTGCACAATGTTGGTGGCTGCGCACGCAGATGCTGTTGAGTGTGGTTATTTCTTTTTTAATTTTGCAACTGGAGGATATTGCTAATCATCCGACACACACATACACTTTCTGGTCCAGTACACACACACACACACACACACACACACACACACACACACACACACACACACGCACACACGCACACGCGCACGCACGCACGCACGCACGCACGCACACACACACACACACTCAAGGCGCACCTCTGAAAACTCGTTATGGATCGAAATATTCGTGAAGTAATGTGTCAATGTTTTGTGATGTGTTTTGTTGCAATAAGACAAATAAATAAAAAACAAAAAATAAATAAATAAATAATAGACGTGGGAGACTTTATGTTGTGGCCCAGCTTCTCAGCTTTCTGCGCCAATGATGGACAGATGGCAATTAAGAAAAAAGGGGGAAAATAACAATAATGGTGAAAGAATGAATCACGATGGAACCGAATTCCTGTTGTTTTATTAGATAAATAAAACGAAAATAACCTTTGAGAATTGTGTCAAAGCAGGCCTTCAAGAGAAAAAAGGGTGTGACTCCTATAATAATGTCAATAAAAGCAACTTGATTTAGAAAAAAATATGTTCATTCATATTTAGTGAAATCTGACTTGATATATATTATATTTTATTATGAAAGGCTGGTAATGGTTTGACTGACTTCCAGCTGATCAGATGGCTGATTTGTGTGAGAACAGCGCAGGAGGTGTTGGATGTCATCCAGACAGTTTGGAGCGAAGTGGAGGCGATGATCCCCGGAGGCAACATATCTAAACTATACGCCAGCTCAGCAAGAACTAAACCCATCGACAGTTTTCTGTCATTTTATGTGACTGAAAACATCAGTGAGTTTTTTTCCTTTAAGTGTTTCAGAATGCTGACAGCTTTAAAAAAGATAAATGTGATGCATTAAAGCAGGGTGATTCCACTTGGAAGCTGAGCTCGTAGAATTATTTCATAAGTAAAAACTAGATAAATTCTGGATTTTCACTTCCACTCTAAATGTTCTTTTTCTTTGCTAAATCCCATATAAATTTAAAAATGTAAGATAAATGTGCACTTTTTTAAAATGTATTGGAAAAAAGTCAGTAAGCAGCTCAACAAAATGAAGAGAGATCAGCTCATTTATTTACCGTTTTTATTTAAATAACGTGTTGTTATGGTCTAAATGAATGTGAGAGACGCAAATAAAGCAGTAAAAAAGAGAACTAAAATAAACATAACAGAAATAAAACCAATACTCAGCAAACAGTAGACACATGTGCTAAAACAGGGCAGCAAAACAAAATCCAAAGTCTTGGAGCTTTTTCAAATTTGTAATCATTCAGAGCTAAATAGTTAAAAATAAGCTTCAAAAAGCTGATTTTAATTATTTTTCTTAAAGGAGAAATACGTCAAAATTGTATAAATGTGTCGTTTGTCTGAGGACATTTTTCTCTTGTCAGCAAGAAACAAGATGTTTTCATAAATCTTTATTAAATGTGAACACAAAGTCAAGAACTCATTTCTGCAAACAGGTGGAACAAATAAAGTTTTACTGCATGAATCAGACAAACGTCTAGTTCAATCATGCAAACTGAAACAGGCAGAGAGGAGCGAAACTGGTGCTGCAAAATACACTAACTAACTTTTGCTCGCACTTAATGTAAATAACAAATATAGATAATGTATTGAATATGTTTGCAGCAACATGTTGCAGTGATGCAAAGTCTACTCCTAATTTATACTCTTCATTCCCATTTTGGGTGAAACATGTCTCTCGAGGGCCATGAATGCAGATCAACAAGACCAAAAAGATCTTCACCTTGTGTGTGTGTGTGTGTGTGTGTGTGTGTGTGTGTGTGTGTGTGTGTGTGTGTGTGTGTGTGTGTGTGTGTGTGTGTGTGTGTGTGTGTGTGTGTGTGGAGCTTCAAATTCCTTTTGATGCTTTACCTCTAGAGGCCAAAGGATGAGGTTCCAGAGGAGTGGGGGAAGGAGGGGCTTCACGGGGTTCACAGGGCGGCATGGTGCAGTTTAGCACAGGGTCAAACATGTACATGCAGCTCATTAAGCTTGGTGCTACAGAGGGAGGGAGCATATGGCCAGAGTTTGTGTGGGAGTTTAGGAACGGGGGATGTGTAAAAAGAAATGCAATCAAATGTATGTGGGAACATTTTTATTGCAAAGAATGAATGGTATTGCAGTTAAAATAAATAATAAAATAAAATAAAGTTTGGTCAAAATAAATGGAAAAAAAATATCATTGTTCCCCACCAACCACGGTGAGAAGCATCCTCAAACTCTGCTCCATTCCCAAGCCCCAGATGGCATGGGATGGGAAACGTTCCCTATTAAATTCCTAATAATCATTTCTCCAGTGGAATCGGGGGTGGTGGCATGGGGGATGGGGGTGAGGGGTGGAGGAGGGTTGGGTGCCAGTGTGTGTGTGGAGACGAAAAGGGTGAGGGGAGGGGAGGGGTGTGAGAAGTGAGGATTGGGTTAGTTGGTGGGTGGGGGAGTAGAGGGATTTGGTGTTTTAATTAGACAGATTTAAGGAGCTGAACCCTCTCAGAGAGAGAGAGAGAGAGAGAGAGAGAGAGAGAGAGAGAGAGAGAGAGAGAGAGAGAGAGAGTGTGAGTGTGTTGGTGGGGGGGGGTTGGGGGGGGCAGATTCATTTGTGCCTATAGTTTTGTGCGTGTGTGTGCATGTGTGAAAAAATTATACTATAAGCAGAGGTGTGTGTGTGTGTGTGTGTGTGTGTGTGTGTGTGTGTGTGTGTGTGTGTATGTGTGTGTGTGTGTGTGTGTGTGTGTTGCAGGTCACGGCAGGGATGGTGCTGCTGCAGAGGAGGCCTGACACTCCAGTACTACGGGCCAGGATCTCATTAACGTGTCAGATTGGTGGATCAGTCTCTCTGGCAGCCGGCCCGGCCTCTCACAGGAAGTACTTTCTCTCTATCTGTGAACTTGGCACTGAGAGGTTAGTCAGGGAGGAAGATGGAGGGAATACATTGGCCTGGAGGAGAGAGGAGAGGAAAGCAAGAAAAAAACATTAATTAAACTATTTGGTCAGATTGGAAAAATATTGGGTGAAGGATTGTTGTTTAAGAGCCACTTTTATCCATCAGAGAGTGGATGCATGTGAGTTCTGACGATTTCCAGAGAGTGAAAGAAAGAAAGTGACTCTCGCAGTTTCACTATTCTGGAGGTGGAGATATGCTAAGCATGTGACAGGAGCATCTGCCACTACATCACCTTTGTGCTTTGTGCTCTTTGTCTGGGGGGCACTTCATCTGGGAGTCTGCAGGCATGTGTTGAAAGTGTGCGTGCGGTTATAATACAAGGGAGTATAGAGTGGATTCTGGAGCAGGTGGGAAACATACAGGGGTGTGATCCTCTGACACCCCAGCAACACCCTATTTCAGGGCAGAGAGAGAGACGGGTGCTGCTGGGCAAAGTGGTTTTGATTCCCTCGACTGTGAACAGAAGCATCTGGTACTAATGACTGCAGTGTGATGTCAGATAGATGGATAACTCAGATAAATTCACAAATAGGATCAACGCCTTACCTGGAGTAAACAAAGGTTAAAGTAAAAATAGGTAAATTTTTTCCATTCAGTCTTAGATGTTGAAGATAATTAAATCTGAAGGTTGAATACAACTCAAAGTATTCAAATTAGTCACAGTATTGAAAAATGTTTGCATAACTAAAATACAAAAAGACAGTTATCATCTCATAAACCTCATGATTGGAAAGAACCAACAAACAGAGGTAGTCTAAAACGATGAACAAATGTGTCAGAACCAACATAAAATGACTGAACATATTTTGAGAGTTTCAGAGTATATTTATTATAACAGTGGATCAAAAAGCCCTATCAAACAGGCATGAGCTCCTGAAGCAACCTCTACATGATGCTGCACCATGCACCCACAGGTGGAGCCACTCAGCTGCACACAGCCAGGCCAGAGAAGAGGCAAAGGGGCATAACACAAGACAAGTGTTTCAAAACTTTCTTTATATTTCCACCTAATCAAAGCGAATTTGGGCCTTTATTTTTACCAGAGCACTTTTACATCCCTGTGGTTGTGTAGTTGTGCTCCTGGCTTCTTTATTATAACCCATTGGTTAGGACAAGTGAAGCAGGATAGCAGCTGATAGACATGATTGCTCATGGGTGTGGTTTTTCTGCAGAATGACAGATATGAAGTATGTATAACTTAACCTTATTAAACAACTAATACACATCAGAATATTCACCTTCTGTCAACACATCAGTTAATAACCATACTAAACAGTCAGAAATCACTAAATCATCATCAGCTCACATAAAGCCACTATATTAAGCTTTGTCAAGTTACCCTCGACATCCGCAGTCAACTTCCGATCCGGGAACAAAGGGGTGCTCTCATTTTCTGGCGACGATCATAGTCTTGGATAAGGAGCCTGGTGGCAGGATGACGGGAATCCAAAATGACTGGAGGATGTGTGGTCAGCTCTATATCTTCCGCTTGACAGAGTCTTCCACCAACATGGATGAGGTCATCTTCCGCATCCCACTCCGGTGCCAGGGTGAGAAGTTTGCTGCTTCTAGGAACGGGATTCCCAGCCTTCAGCAAGCTGAGTTCCAATGGAAAGCTGTCCCTCTGAGTCCTCTGAAAAACCATCCGCTCTGCCTGACGCTCTTCTGCCGATGGCGGAGCAGCACAACCAGCCGCCCCATGCACTTCCCGTGTGGTGGCCTCCAACAGCTCCTTTCATGACTGATAACGGGCTGGATCGCCGGTGGGAACTGCTGTGAGTCCACAAAAGACAGTTTTGCGTCGTTCTGACTCCTCTGGGGCTTGATTAGCGGCAGGTTCCTTGTGCCAGCCATTGGGGCTAAGTAAGAGAAAGGTAGGACCCTGGCTCCAACGATTTGATTCCGCCAACTCCCTCAAGCTTTTTCCCCATGTCACATTGTCAGCTGGGTTATTGATGGTATCAACGTATCTCCGTGTGCAGCCAGTAGTCAATTCCTGGATTTCTGTGACACGCGTGCCGACAAAGATTTTGAATCGACATGATTCGGACTTCAACCATGTGAGCACTGTCGTCGAATCAGACCACAGGACAACCTGATCTGGGCTAATTGTAAGCTCTTGTTTGAGGACTCGTGAAAGTTGTGCTCCAGTAAGAGCAGCACACTATTCTAGATGAGGCATTGATAGGGACCGTTTTGGGGCTGCTCTGGAACGAGCCATCAGAAAGGACAGATATACTTCACCCTGTTGATTGGAGAACCTAAGGCATGGCACTGACCCATAGGCCTCTTCCGAAGCTTTGCAGAAAACCTGCATCTCAGT